GCGCTAACCTTAAAGTATATTATACACAAAATATTTGGTTATTTCACCACTTACCGTCAGTTGAAATAATAACGAAGCAATCGCTAACTGTTACCGTTACAGTTTAATAAAGTTTATAGCCGAACATGGGAATTGTAGTTCTTAATCGAGGATAGATGTTGATGAGATGTTTATCGGTCTCAGCATCAACTTACCATCAAGAGAACTGTGTGTCCGTTTGTCAAAAAAATTAAGATCGTAGGGACAAACCAAAACTGTGCGGTTATCTAAAAATTTTAGGCGCACGAATAATTTGTTAATGCTATTATGACCCTCTATGAATAGAGCCTAGATTTTTCTCAATTTATTGATCTATTTTTAAGTTATTCAATTAATTACAAAATATTTTATTGATTTATAATAATATAAATTAGTTACATACCCAAAAATTATGGACGTTCAAAAATTAAGGTTAAATACACTCCGTTTTCTGTCCAGTTGATAATAATAATTATTATTATTCGTTTATTTATTTCAGAGCAATTATGCATATTTGTTAAAAAATATAATCCAAACACCTATAGCATTAAATAAAATTAAAATTAATAAATATAAAGAATAATTAAAAATTTTAGGTCATGATGATGGGATTCACATTGGTGAATCCCATCTATCCGCTAGTACACTGAGAATGATGTTGGTGCTAATCCGCATGCGATTCGTCATGAAGGCACACCTTTTTCACATTATGGCTTCAAATTCATTATCATGCACCTCTGCAAACATGCCGGAGGCGCTATAATAAATACCGTGGAGACCCCATTATAATTCTCAACGACTGAAACGAAATACTGCAATCGGTAATACATTAATAATACGTTATTGTATTAAATTACCGATTGCAGTATCAAATGTAATAAATATTTTACAGCACTAGATTTTTATAGTAGTTTTTTGTAATTCGTGGTAACTCAGGGGCTTGGCGCTAGCTGTAAATTTAACAGTACGCCCACAAATCAGGTTCGACCCTCGGCATAAATGAAATTTTTAATTAGGTACAGTTTTAAGTGCTGATGCGGTGCAGTGCATGTGCTCGGCGGTGAAAGAAAATATCGTGAGGAAATACAGTGACACCTGCATGTCTCAGAGTTGCTATTCCGAAAGAAACATGCGGTGCAGCACCCATGGGTGACGGAGATAAATAAATTACTATGCAGTAAGCGTGCTGCTCCTTTGTTCAATTTGGACCAAAAGCACAGACTATTATTTTAATTACAAATACATGGCAATATGATCTTAAAATTAATTAAAACTTATTATTGGCCATTTATATTGCGGATTATTGGCCATGCTCAGTCGAGACGTTTGAAAGAAATTATGCGATCACTATCAGATGCACCAACGAATATATAATATACGTAATAAATTTGTACACCGTTAGTATCATTTTACTGAACAAAACTGTTTGAATTTATAAGTTCTAGGTTTACCACTAAGTTGTTAATTGAATAGTATTTTATATAATGCAAATGCCTAAAGTTACAGTCATTAACTTTAGGTTAAACTATAGACGTCCGATACTCGCGTACGTTGTTGGGAGGGGTATGGGGGAGGGGAGGAGGTCATGAGAAGCCCCCCCTACCCTTCCTCCGTTGCGGAAATGTATAGTTTATGAGTAATAATTTTTTTTGTAAAATCATAACCTCACTTTTTTATACAGGAATATTGACGCAAAGTTACTTCTGCAACGGCTTCGGCACTGCGGGAAGTGCAGCCCCTTCGCCCTTGCGTAGCAAATCACAGGCACCCATGCTCGCCTCCGCAGCTTCGGCTTACTGGTCGCCGAAGCCTCAGCCGCTACGGCTCGCTAGGTGACTGCAATTTGCTACAGCGGGCGGGGGCTGCTCTCTCCGTGCCAACGGCTTTACAAAAAACTCTTGGAGTAGGGCAGACAAGACTACGTGGAGTCGGGGTGTGCTAATTCGGTTTTAGAACCGATGCGACCAATCTTATCTATAAAGTTGCCCTAATCTCTGCTATGATAGTAGTAAATGAAATATTGTAATGTGAATTGTCATAATTTTGTTTTCTGAAAGACTGCTCTCCACTGCGACTCAATTTATTGTATATAAGTCCCATCTCCAGCCACAAATTGATTGTCTGGGTCCGAGTGATTAACTTTTTTATTGAGTGTATGTGTTAAAAAGGCAAATGGACAATTTTATTTCGTTATTGCAATTTTTAGTGAAATTTATTTTTATCGTAATTAATTCAAAAGGCATTTCCGAAATTTAAAAACAGTGTAAATGGTTCGAGCTTAACCCTGACAATCCTCCTAAATTGAAAACAAAATTAAACAATCAAGTGCCGGACATCTACTTCACAATACGAGAACAAATTGACATATTTGCGTTTCGTTATTACACAATTTTTAGTGAAATTTGTTTTTATCGTAATTAATTCAAAACGCGTTTCCGACACCTAAAAACAGTGTAATAGGTTCAAGCTTAACCCTAACAAGCCTCCTAGACTGAAAACATTATCAAAATCAATTGCCGGATGTCTATAGCAAACCTAAATTTTATTTTTTACAATTATTTATTTTACTTCATATACACATTAAATTTATATTGGCGGACTTAATGCTATTACCGAATGATAAACGAGGTAGGTGTTATAAGAATTACAAAAACTAATATTTAAATACGAAAAAGAAATGTTAAAAAAACTTTACCAGACCGTCGGCAGAGTAATAATTTCACACTCGGATTTCGATAATTGGTCATTCCCAGCTCGCCATGTTTTTCTTAAAGATGAATTATTCACCATCAAATCCTTTGTCGTAAAACATTGTAGACAACTAGTGTATATGTAATTATATTTTATGAATAGTGAACACAGAATACATATACCTACCCTGACGGGATAGTGAATTATAAAACTAAAACAGTTAACTTGCTCGGTGTAGTGTTCGAAATTATTTGTATTTTTATTAAGTACCCTCTTCATAAGTAATAAGATGAATCATGAATGTTGTCAGTAGTAAAAATAAAAATACCTCTATGTAACTTATATTTAAATTCGTTGTAATATATTTTTAAATATAATGTTATTAATCACGGTGGACTATGAACACTATGTTAAATCTGCCATTTTACTGACAAGAAGTTTTCGCACTGCTGATTTGGGAAGGAAGAATGTTCCAAAGAAGAACAGATTGAACAAAGAACGAAGATTGGACAAAATTTTTATTAAAAGGGGGGCACTGAAGTAAAAGGTTACTACTAGAACGGAGAGCTCTATCATGGTTGGAGCTAAGATAGTGAAAATGAGTTAATTTAAGATAGGGGATGAGGAGACGTCAAGATAGAGTAAAGAGTAATAAGTGCGCGTAGACTACGGCGCTGACGAATGGATAGCTAGTTAAGTTGAGAGCGATAAGTAGACACATGATAATAGTTTCGATGATTAAAGATGAATCGAATGCAGTTATTAAAAAGACGGTAATACTTGTTCAAAAGTTCTGCATTCAGGTCAAAATAACACACATCACCATAGTCAAAAATGGGAAAAATTAAGGTCTGCACACTAATCGTCTTGGTCCTGGGTGGCAGAATGTTCTACAAGCGATAGAGAGAACGCAAAACACCTGTGACTTTCTGACAAACATTTGCCACTTGAGTTTGCCAGCTCAGGTGGAGTTAATGTATAAGCCAAGGTATTTCACGATATCACTAAGTTCTAAAATAAAACCGTTAAATCGATCGGTGGTAAAGCTGTGGGACCAATTTCTTTATCATCCGTTGGCTACCTATTATTATAGCCTGACATTTGGATGGGTAAACTTTAAGGCTAAACTTGTCAGATCAGTTCTTTATATACTCTAGGTTCTTATTAACAGAGTCAATTGGTGTAGATATATAGTCGACTTTCGCGTGTAAGTACGATAAGAATAAATTTACTTTTACGGATTTTATTATGTTTAATTTGTTAGATTGTAATCCCTGACGTTAAGGGTGATTTCCAGCACCTATTGCCACGGGATACTGAGGCGTCTGACGTCGCGTTGTCAGAGTTAACCCGGAGTAGTTTCAGGATTTTAATTATTACATTTGGTCCGATCTACGCAGAATGAACTTACTGTGTCTTGAAGTCTTGCAGTGGCTTATTTTGTTAATGGCATGGGCTTAGTTTTAATTTTATTAATTACAGGATCCCAAGCAAGTTGTAGTGCCCAACCTGCTTCTCTTTTGAAATTGGGATGTTTTTAATTTCGATGTCCTTGGCTCGATGTTCTTTCGTGTGCATTTGGGTTCTATCAAATCTGATGTAATGGCGAGGGCCGTGTAGGATATGATCACAAACTGCAGACTTCCCAGAGCATTAGCGTTTCACGTCAGCTATATAGAAATCGTTATACAACTGTGAAGTTTTAGTAATTTTAGGTTTCTAGTTTTTAAACTAATCAGTATTAAGAAAACCTAGGAATATGGCAGTTGTAGACATAGATTTTATCGTTAAAAATATTTGCTCTTGTGTCAGGTAATAAAGAGGAAAACGTTTGTATGGACTAAACAACATCCATCCATATCCTCTTATGGCACTCGAATACGAGGGGTTATTATCTGATTTTTATACAGGAGCTTTGCTATATATCTTTTAAGGATGAAAAAATTGAATAAAACCACTTATACGGATTTTATCGCGTTTAATTAACTTATTTTTAATTTCCCACGAAGAAATTATTGCGATGAAAAAAATTTATCGGTTTTATACATTAGTTTCCAGCCAATTCAAGTGCCAAGAAACGATGTCCTATGAATAGTAAGCATAGATACATTGACACTTTTTACCTGTACGACATCCAAAGGACAGACTTGTATCGTAATTCAAAGAACGTGAGGTAGCGCATATCAACGCATTGTCCGCAATCGGCCTTCGCAGTTTAGTATAAAGTCGGTTTCATACGATGACCCGGTATCATTAGCTCTGCTGCAGCAAATAGATATCCAACTACCAAAATGCTTAAACTTGTAAGTAGACAAACTATATTAAACAAAATATGTATATTATAATTACGTCATATTAACACGATTAACTCTCACTATATTTAAAGATTTTTGGAAAGCAGTGTTCTTTAGTATTTTAATGTTGTTTAACCTGATATATTAGATCATAATCATCAAAAGTTAACTGCTGAACTAAGGCCACACAGGTTACACTACAAAGCACTGTTCTGAGACACTTATCTGCAACCTTTACCAGGTAATTACTCCATCTAATATGGGCCGCCCTACACTTCGCTTACCGGCTACTAGATATCAGTTAATGTTAATCAAATATGAATGATTTTTATGTTTAATTTTCATGGGTTTTCTTTGCAGTTCATCTTCGCCTGCTTCCTGGCCGTCGCCGCTGCCAAACCTAGTCTTCTACCTGTCGCTTACACCGCCCCTGTGGCCGCAGCGTACACTGCACCAGTTGCAGCCGCGTACACTGCCCCCGTCGCCTACTCTGCATACACTGCGCCATTTGCAGCTTACTCTGCGTACACTTATGCCTCTCCCTATGCTTACTACCTACGATGAAGACCGAAAAATTCAAACAAAAGAAGATGACTATTCAAATGAAAGCCTCAAAATGTGATCGAATAAATTATCAGCATTGACCAAATTATGGTATTTTTATTTATATGTTGAATATCAAAATATTTTTACAGTCAAGTCTGGCAAAGGAAACGGGCGAAAGTTCATAGAAAGCTGGGCCTGATGTTACAGTAACGATTATTGCATTATTTTACTTATATACCAATACCATTTAAATAAAACTAAAATGTTTACGGCTGCTTCATGGTAGAAAAAAAATATTGTTGGTTTGAATAAAAACAATTAGTCGCCCAAAAAACCTAATCAATAAGAAGATGCTGGCTCATATAAAATTACCCCAACATACAACTCAAACCCCCATAAGTCATACTGTTCAAGTAAAATCCCCCTCTAAAAAGTAAATATAAAAATTCCAATGTTATTGCCTACGTTATGCTTACAATGTTATTCTTACACCAAACTCTCATACACTTTATATTAGACTTTATTGTAAACTAGACTTTACCATAATTTTATGTATTGTATGTCCAACTAAATTCTAGAGGTTTGAAATAATTATAAAAAAACAGAGGGAGTATGAATTAAAAACACTTTCTCTCTTAATGATTTATTAATCGTCCACTTCATCATAAACAAATAAAATATCGTCTAAAACGGTGCATGCGGTATTAAATTCTCTAGATGCCTTGCCCGGCTTAGGTACCATATCCATAATATGTCCATATCAATAACATTACATGACAACAGCAACATACAGTTCTTTTTCCTACCAAGCAATTAAAATAATACTGTTTGATGGCTTCTCTGCCATTAAGAGAACTGTCAACTAAAATATATGTAATATATATTTTTGAGCATATATGTCTCGGTTTTATTCGACCTCTTAATAGTCAGCTAGAATGGTTGGATATTGACAGTTCTCTTAGTAGGCTGTTGTCCGTTTCTCGACACACTACTATTTCATATCCATGTACCAGTTTCTCGACTCCACAGAGTCAGTAATTCATTCTTGGGGCAATGTATACGCTATTACAACAAAGCCCAGAAAATATACAAAGTCTCTCTATTACCAATATTAAATATTTAATTAAACAAAAACATTATATAAAGAGTTATTATGATATAAATGAATTCATGAGTGATAATAACCCCTGGGAATGAGGTGGTCGCTTTCAAGCTGTTTCTAAAATAAATTTTGTAAATATTCTGTAACCATTGACATTGTAAAATTTATTTTAAAAAAAAAGCCCGGCTGGGTTTCTTGCTGGTTCTTCCCAGGACAGAGGTTTTTTCGAACCAGTGGTAACGTAAAATATTGACTTTCAATAAGAAATACTTGTAATCTATATTGAATAATTTTTTTTTATTTATCTCCCATTTTATCGTATGTGATCCCCATAATGGGACCTAGCCTACTTAATTTTATAAATACCTAAAGATATTTTTATTAAATCACTATGTGTGAGCTGGGGAAAATCATTTAAGTTATCATTTTGCACAGGTATTCTTGGAATAATCAGAAAAGAAACCGTCAGAATCCTTTATACGTAGCCAGAGTCGTTAAAGATCAGAATGTTATTACAACACACAAAAAAGAAAACAGAAAATATTCAATACCACTGCAAGCTCAGAGCCTAGAGAAGAGTTTTTGAACTAACATTGACATTTCCGCATTTATTAATCTGTGCCTGTATGAAACCTTGAAAACTGATGATCGATTGTGAAATCGATTTATTAATCTATTTAGACAATTTATTTTTACAACTTTTTTGAAACGTTGAAGTGTCTCACGAGGAAACCATTATTTAAACAATAAGTTTCTTAAACTTACCTAAGGAAGAAAACACTGAATCACTTTTTATTGTCTTTTATTCTATTTTTGTATTAAAATCTTACCTATTTCATCTGGCAGCAAATGAAAATAACGGAAGTCAGTATTATTTTTATTAAATATTTAATTTCTTTTGCCATGATAAAACTGCTTAATATTTCATTATTAACTACAAAAAAACTGTAAACAAATATTGATAAATATTTCACTTGTGTAACGTTAGGCCCAAATTCACCCGTCTCCTTTACCAATGGATGTGTACGACATACGTGATGGCAAAGTTAACATCCATTAACAGGTACAAAATTACGAATAACACGGACAACAAAACGTTTTTCCAGATATGTAATACTTTGAATAAAAATTAAAAAAATGTAATTGACAGCATTGTTTTCAATATTGCAACATGAGAGTTAATTTTGGTATTTTATTTTAATGCGGAATCGTACCGACGTAACCTCTTTGTTCAGTGCTCTAGATCTTTTGTTGATTTTGTTTGAAATGCTGAATGTATGTTTTTTTTATAGAAGAGGGGGCAAACGAGCATGCGGCTCACCTGATGTTAAGTGACTACCACCGCCCATGATCAACCGCAACACCAGGGGAATTGCAGGTGCGTTGCCGGCCCTTTAGAAAGGAGTAAGCTCTTTTCTTGAAGGTCTCCAGGTCATATCGGTCCGGAAAATTCGCCGGTGGTAAACTATTCCACAGAGAGGTTGTACGCGGAAGAAAACTCCTTTTGAAACGTACTGTGGTGGACCGCCAAGCATCCAGATGGTGTGGATGGTATCGGGGCGTTTGCCGCGTAGTGCGTTCACGAAATTTGGCGGCTGGGATTAATCTGAACAATTCCTCAGAGCACTCTCCATGGTGCGAAATAAAATGCAAAGAGATGCAACATCTCTTCGCAGTGCCAGTGAATCGAGCCGATCGGAAAGCACTCGGTCGTCGACGATTCGAGCCGCTCTGCGCTGGATGCGGTCAAGTGGAAGGAGCTGGTACTGGGGAGCCCCAGCTCAGAGATGGGAACAGTATTCCATGTTCGGCCGACCCTGCGCCTTGTAAAGTTGCAGGCGGTGTACCGGCATGAAATACTGTCCCGCTCTGCTGAGCACGCCGAGCTTTTTAGAGGCCAATTTGGCCTTCTCTTCCAAGTGACCACGAAACTGCACGTCACTCGATATGTCGACGCTGAGGATTCCGATACTGGCTGAGGCAACAAGGGGAGTGCCTTGAAACTGAGGAGATACGACAAAGGGGTTCTTTTTAGCGGTTAACGCGCAAACTTGTGTCTTCTGGGGGTTAAACTGGACTAGATTTAGTCGCCCCCAATCCGAGACTCTGTTCAGCAAAGACTCGACTACAGACACAAGTTAGTCCCGGCACTCGGAGACGTTTTCCCGAGAAATATTGGCTCGGCCGGTGTAAAGAGCATCACCAGTGCTGTCATCTGCATAGCAATGAGTGTTACGGTTTTGCAACATATCATTGATATGCAGAAGAAACAGCGTTGGCGATAGCACGCAGCCTTGTGGAACACCAGCATTAATAGGCTTGCAATCGGAGCTTGCACCGTCTACAACGACCTTGATGCTCCGATCTGCAAGAAAGCTGGTGATCCAATCGCACAATTTTTCGGGAAGCCCATAGGAAGGGAGCTTCGAAAGAAGCGCTTTGTGCCAAACCCGATCGAAGGCCTTAACAATGACCAAACTAACGGCAAATGCCTCCCCCTTGGACTCTACTGCCTCCGCCCATCTATGAGTTAAGTAGACCAGAAGATCACCAGCTGACCGACCACGGCGAAAACCGTATTAGCGGTCACTTATCAGCTGATGATCCTCAAGGTACCTCATGAGCTGGCAGTTTACAATAGACTCCATTGTTTTGGAGAACAAGGAGAACATATAGCTGACGTGAAGCACCGACGCTCCGGGAAGTCTGCAGTCTGTGAACGTGTTCAAAATCGTCCCCACCATTACATCAGATTTGATAAACCACAAGTCCTCGCAAAAGAACACCGATTCCTACCAAGGATGATACGCGAGGCTATTGAAATTAAAAAACATCCTAATTTCAATAGAGAAGATGGTTGGATGCTGCCATCTGCTTGGGATCCTATAATTAACAAAATTAAACCCAAACCCAAGCATACCACTGCAAGACTTCAAGATACTGTAAGTTCGTTTTGCGTAAATCGGACCAAAAATTAAAGGTAGCCGGGCTAACAATGACATTGGGACGTCAAACATCTCAGTCCCCCCGTGACCATGGTTGCTGTAAAGCACCCGAAACGTCGGGAATTAAAAATATGTAAAAGTAGTGAAATAAACGCGATAAAACCCGTAAATTTAGTTTTATTCAACAAGGAGGTGATGGCGATAGGCCGGTAGTTGGACGGGTCTGAGCGGTCGCCTTTTTTAGGGATCGGGTGGACGAAAGCCGTCTTCCATGATTTTGGGACTACGCCTAGGGAGTAGGAGTACCGGAAAAGACGCGTTAAAACCGGTGCCAACTCTGGAGCACACGTCCTCAGCACAATTGGGGGGATTCCGTCAGGCTCACTCGACTTGTGGATAACAGGGAGAGGAGTGCTTTGCGAACCGAGCGCTGTATGAACTGCACTTCCAGCATGGAGCACTCACACCGCGGGATGTTCGGCGGCGTACTCCCCCCGTCATTGAGAGTCGAGTTGGACGCAAAGAAAGAGCCTAGAAGATCGGCTTTCTCCTTTGCGGTATGGGCCAGTGAGTCGTCCTCTCTGTGCAGAGATGGAACAGATGGCTGACAGAAATTCCCCTGGACAGCCTTGGCGAGAGACCAGAATGCACGGGTTCCAGAAGGAAGGCAAACTAGTTTCTCGCCAATTCTGCCTATGTGCTCTGACTTTGCCTTGGCAATGACTCTTTTGAAGGACCTAGAAGCGGAATTATACTTCTCTTTTAGAGCGCTGGTGTTTACATCCCGGGACGCTGATGCGTCAGCCCAGACTTGATAGCACTCCTGCTTATAGCATGATACTATTTTACAGGAGCGACCAAACCATGGCTGAGATTTGCCCCCAATGTGCACCACAGAGGAAGGAATAAAAAGTTCCATACCCTGAAGTACCACATCAGCGACAGTCCAGATAACGTTGGGATCGTCCGGT